GCGCTGCATTTGCCTTGCGCACTCGGCGCTCTGCGGCCTTATCCATCGGGCAACGCCGAGCGCGCGCCAACAGCGAACGGATTCTAATACACGCTCCCCGTCATCTAGTAAACAATCGAAGATTTTAACTAGAGGTAGCCACGCCATCCAGTAAACAATGTAAGAACTAAACTAGAGGCGGCTACATACATACGCCGAGGATGGACAGACCAACGCCTTAAGGAGCTTTGCCCCTAAAAGGTCACAACCATATCCGCAATGTGAATGATGTTAGATGAGCTTGCTCGGAGGCGCACGGGGCATTTCATAGCGAGACCCTTTCTGTAGGAAGGCTTCTTAACTAGACGGCGCATGATGTGTGCGTCTAAAGCAGCGTTGTCGGAAACGTTCCGGGCCGGCATTGCATAGTGTTTGCCATGTCGACCGGCAAGTCAAACACCTGCACTTTTATGACATACTGGCTGCTGCCGTGAGTCAAATGCCGAAAGCTCACAAATGGCAGACGAGAAGCACGCAGGTGAGGGGTCTCGGGAGGATATCGGTACCCGTGCGTAACACTCATCGTGGGAACTTATCACGCGCTGCCGTGCGTATGGAGCGACGAGAACTAAGTGAATGTTGTAGCGAGCAGGTAAATGCGCGGGGCATCAAAAACAGACGCCTTGCGTGGTGGCGCGCAATTTAGTGAGCGCTGTCGGTGTCTCCGGTGAGGTGACCCAAGGTGAGGTGACTTGAGCGGTGACCGGGGAAGTGCACACTGGCAAATCTTTTGTACGCGATGGCGTCACAAGGCAGAGCACGAGCATAATAAGCTTGCCTAGCAGCTGCTAAAAGAAAAAAAACAAAGGAAACAGCGACAGTAAAAAACGAGAGGTGATCTAACAGCATTCGTATTTCTTCCGTGTAGGCTTCTTCAAAAAACGAGCCCCGAAAGGAAACTAGCAAAACGTAACGTAGCAAAACGTAACGTTTGGCAACAGTGAATGGTGTTGTGGCAATATGCCGTTCTTCGCCATCCTAAGCATGAGAAAGAATCGTAGAGGCAATAGCCCGACGGCAGCAGTATGTGGCTTTTCGCCTTTAGTCGGCACATATATGCTTCAATTTTCTATTATGCGTCGCACAGACGCTGTGATTTCCAAGAGGCTGTGATTACCCCCGCGCATGTTCGCCTCAGTGAATGAAAGCTATTAGAGTTTCTGTATATACTAACTTTAGGTAGCATCTGTATATGTCACCTAAAGGTAGTTAGTATATACCGGAGCTCTACGAGCCATGGAGGGTACGCGCCACGGTGGCGGCTGGAGCAGTTACACAGAACGTAGTTATCCCGCTTATAGATGTGAACCAGCTCTTTCACTAGCCTGTGTAACGCAGTCCCTCCATCAACACCGCTTTCCTCGCCGCAGGTGTGGGAGCGGTGCCAAGTAGCTGACACCTTCCTAACAGTGCATGGTGACGTCTCTCTCTTTCGCCTGTCATGCGCTCGCCACGTGTCAGCTCTCTCTCGCCTCACCCTTGAGCCCACTCTTCACGTATGCATCATCCAAGGAGGTTATACTATTGAGTATAACCTCCTTGGCATTATCTCATCATCGCGTCCTCTCTCCACCTGTCGCCGAGCAGAAGCCGTGATCTTGCGGGTGCGCTATGCGCACGTCTCCGGAATCTCGCGGCGCCGACAATGTGGACAGCACGCCTGTGCTTTCCGCGCTATTGCACCGATTGGCGGGACGCTGTCGCGGCTTGCTTTCCTCTAGTGTGCGCGTACCTTACTCGAATAAACGCTACAGTGAGTTCTGCTTCAAACCGTTCTTCCAGCACCCACGTCGACGCCCGTTTCAACCGGCTCAACGCCGTGCGCACCCCTGTTGCTTCGCATCCCATCAGGGTTCCCTTCGGAGACATGCTCCATAGTTGTTTCCTCATATGCATCGTAAAAAATTCTTGCAAGCATAAGCGACAAGTAACTTTTAAAATACTCTTACCACTTGCCACAAAGATCAGCTGGTCTCGGAGACTTACCGGCATTTAACTTATCAATCGCCCATTCAACTTCAGCTGCAGATATAGATAATACAAAAGCGCTTTTCTCTTCATGACTCACTTGTGGTATGCGTACTAAATATTCTGCTTTAAATCGCTCTAGTTTTACCTGCCTACATTCAAAAATATTTTAAGATTTTCCAAGGGCTTCGAAAAGACACAAGAAATTCTTTTGGTATCGGTTCTCTCCATTTCTACGATTACGTGCATTGCGCGCGAATTGGACAGTGCGCGAATAGACCTTATCTTGAAGGCCAAATGCGGCAGCCTAGTGTTCTGCATTGCCACTCGCACGAGACTTCACAGTTTGCTAACCGCCGCAGCATCGAACCATTGCATGTCTGGGTTTAGAAATGCAGTTTCGCAACTGGTATTATCGCGTAACTCGGGTTTTGGTGTGAAGCAAAGCGTAAATTCGTGAGGTGGTTTTTCTTTGTTAGTCACAACATCCCACCAGACACAAGAACTAACCAAAAATAATGGTGGGGAAAGTATAGGGGATGCTATTACAAGGAATTGTAAATAAATGTGAACCTTCAAGTAACGCGCCCGGCTCAACTAAAACTCAGGTACGTTGGCACTCACCTCCACCCCCTCCCCTCCACCGTCCTTTTTATCGGGTATATATGTGCATTTCACCGGTGCAGGCTATAGAGGGCGTAAAGCAGAGAGATGTGATCACTCCAATGGTGTTCACCGCGTGTTCACAGCAGGTTTTCAGAACCTTGCAAAGGAAAGAGTTAGGAATAAGAGCTAATGGAGAGTATCTTAGTAACCTGTGGTTCGCCGATGACATCGCCTTGATGAGTAATAAAGGAGACAAATTTCTCATGATTACTCAATTGGAAGCTTATGCATGATTACTTAACTTGATGTTTAGAGCAGAAGAGTTGGTCTGAAAATTAATTTGCACAAAATAAAATACTGTGCAATAGTCTCAGCAGAACAAAACAATTTGCGATTGGCAGAGAGATGCTAGAAGTTGTGGAGAAATAGGTCTACTTAGGACGCATAATAACTGTGGAGCCGAAACACGACAGTTGGAAAACATTCGGCAAGCATTCTCAAGCATGAATGGCAACCTGACACTAAGCTTCCAAAGAGTTATATAACAGCCGCATCTTGCCGGTGCTTACCTACGGAGGAGAAACCTTTAGGCTTACACAGAGGGTTCAGCCTAAATTTGAGGGCGACTCAAATGAGCAACGGAAAGGAAATTGGTAGGTGTAACCTTAAGATGCAAGAAGAAAGCAGAGTGGGTGACGGAAGAAACCGTAGGTGAAGTAACACTAAAGGACTGTATTGAGTCGACATTGACTTTTGAAATAGTAGTCCAGAAACCTGGTCGTGCTATGTTTGCGCCAAAGGAAGTGATTATTTTAAAATGAAATCACGTTTTGTAGTGCATCGTGTTAGCACACTTCAAATTACTATTTCCAAAGTGAAAACATTCACAGCACTGTTACCCTGCACCACGTTGCCCTGCTTTACTGCGCTGCCGCCAACACTATTAGCAGCAGTGCGAAACATGCGGTAGCCACAGCACAAAACAACGGCCATTCAAAAATTTCCTGCCTTGGCATCCGAGTTGGGAGGCGTGCGTGGTTCCACGGGGCCCTGCTAGGTGGCACGGCCTGTCCAGTTTAACAAGGTGAAAATTGGACTTTTGAACCACTAGCGCCCTTCCTCCTAGTAACGTCTGGCGGTTCTTTTTTTCAGGAATCGAAGAGAAACGAACAAGGAGCATTTTGTTTCGCCTCTTGATGCACGGAAGGTTCTTTATTTAGTGCAGCTTGTTCGATTACTACAGAATAATTGTAGACGGTGACTCCGTGTTCATCCGCCTCATTTGCGAATGCTCTATTTGTAGCGCATGTGTTCTAGTGCATTAGCCCTAATTTTTCCGCAAGTAGGACAGTGCTGCTCATAATGTTGTCATTTTAGGCGTTGTCATACACTCAGCGTTCCCTCTGACATAAATTTCTATTTGCCTTCAGTGCAAGTTTAAGAATAATAAAGCTGAAATCAAGAATAATAAACGGACATGTGCCGGGCATGTAGCGTGTAGGCAGGATAACCGCTGGTCATTAAGGGTAACTCACTAGACTCACAGAGAGGGCAAACGCGCGTCGGGGAGACAGGAAGTTATTTGGGATGATGAGAATAAAACGTTCACAGGAATAGCGTGGCAGCAAAATGTCGTATACCGGGTTGACTGGCGGATCATAGAGGCCTCTTAGCCCTGCAGGGGGCTAGTCAGGATGATATTGATAATGATGATTATGATGTTTATGAAATAATCCAAGTGGTCAAAATTTGCGCAGCCTTCCGCTGAGGTGTCTCTCGTAGCCATATTGTAGTTTCAGGACAATAAAGTTTATCAAATATTATTGCAGTGCTGCTATAAAAATTGCTGAAAAAGGGCGCGGAAATTCCCAACAGTAATTATAGGGAACTCTGTGGCACTAAGAACATTCCACTGTGAGAACGTTTTTTGGTTCATTGTTGCGCAGGTGAATCTTTTCCCGTGTGCTTTCTTTCAATGCCCATGTTGTGAATGCATTTCTCGTGTTCTACCTAAGTGCCGCATTAAGCAGACCTTTCGTTCATCACTTCTAGACGACAAGTTAGGCTTCCATGTTAGACGGAAGTGTGTTCCGTCCCGCACTGAATTTCGCTTCCATGTGGGTGTTGGGCAACCCGCTCGCGTGAACTGCAGCTTGAGCTATTTTACGCCCGGAGGTCGCCGCGCGCTCGATGGTCGAGGCTTCGCTCTGCGAAAGGAGGAGGAGAGCGGGGCGCCGCTTCGAGGTTGACGCAATCTGGGTTAGGGCTCCGGCCCAACTACCACGGTCACATGGTGCCCCCGCTGCCTGCCTTGCAGAAGCCGGTGTCTCGGTCTCCACTGTCGATGCCGCGTGCGGAGCCTTGGCTTTTGTGGAAACGGAGGAATCGGCTTGGGGTGGTGCTTTCGGTGTGCAGAAACTCCTCGATGTCGGTCGGCTTTCGTCACGAGGTCTAGCGAAGTCGCACCAACGTTGCAGCGCACGTCCGAGTAACCTGTGTGGGCCATTCGGTGAGTGCTTCGGTATGGTGCATGTGATCACCACCCAGAGCGATGCAGAGATGGCTTGTACATGGTTTGTAGCATCTATTGTGTGGTTCTTTCTATGGCTTAGCGTGTGAATGCTAATTTCGGAGTGGCGCGTGCTGAAACTATGTTCGTTGCAGTAAAGGTATTTGTAAATATGACACAGTATGGCGAAAAGTTGAAGCTCGTATCTTTTTGAAAACAGGTACTTGAAAGTAAGCTAAAGAAGAATGTTTCATAATAGAGGTACGGTATCTCGACCATGGTGGCCGCATTTTTATAGAGGCGAAATGCTGGGTGCCTGTGTGCTTAGGTTCAGCTGCTTGTTAAACAACCCCATATTGTCGAAATTTCCGGAGCCTGCCACTAAAATTTCTTCATAATGATATATTTGTGCTGATTCGTAAAAGCTTAGCAATTATTAGGCATTACTTATAATCGAGGTGCGCGGTGTAACTTTTCTGTCACTAAGTGTACGGTATCCTGACCAAGCACACCAGCCGCTCATGAACTCTATACTTATTTGATGAAACAGTTCACGATGTGAGTGAATCTTGAAAAAGCGACGGCAGTCGGATGGCTTCACTTGAAATATACACACCTAGAGAAATTGTTGCTTTCTTTCATTTCATTCCTAAAACAATAAAACGAACCCAAGCTTGAACAAATTTGAACCGAATAATACAGCCGTTTGAATATGTCGACCGACCATGAAGTAAAAGCGGTTTTACCACAACACTGCTGAAGCCGCATCGATCCTGAACTTAAAAATGAGATATCGGTTAATGATTCGCAACGACTGGTTCAATGTAGAAGCGACAACAGGCTTTGCAGTTTTATGGAAGTATACATAGAGTTATGGTATCGTTTATGTGATTTTTATTGGTTGCAGTCATTTCTAAGGAGACGCGTATTTTTCGGTCACTCAAAAAACCACCTAACATTTATGCTAACTGCATATTCCATCTCTTGATTTAGACAATGTAATCTAATATTTGACGAATATAAAAATGTCAATACCTTCAAATCTAGGAGAGACACATAATAAATTAACTGAGCAAGCACTTAGCTCCACACCAGACGCACGCATTCGGTACCACAATCCCTATCATTTTGATGGGATGGTACACCTAGGTTATCCTGCTATGTCCCACATGGTCTTCATTTCTCCAATTATGCAATCTGTTTTGTTCCGAAACCTTTTATTTTATTTCATTTTTCTTTCAAACTATATTTTATGTTCTGGTTTCACTGGCAGTGATATTTGTCTGGGCTCAAAAGTTCAACTCGGACAGGAACCATCGAGACGAATCGGCAAAAACGCCAAACGCATTCGTCATGCAACACAGTGCTCATAAAGTAGCGTGCTTGTGAGTAAGCCTCCTATTTTTGCTACGCAAAAATATAATATAATATAATAATATAATATTTAATCATATGAAAATATAGATAACAACAATAATAATAATGATAATAATGGCTAACAATGTGAAAATTACGATCATTGATTTATGTGTGGGGTTTAACGTCCCAAATCCACCACATGAGTATAAGAGATGCCGTAGTGGAGGGCTCCGGAAATTTAGACCACCGAGGCTTCATTAGCGTGCACCCAAATCTGGGCACGCGGGCCTGCAGCATTTTCGCCTCCATCGAAAATGCAGCCGCCGCAGCCGGAATTCGATCCCGCGACCCGCAGGTCAGTAGGCGAGTACCCTAGCCACTAGACCACTGGGGCGGTAAAATTTTAATCATTGAGTATTATCTTACAAATACCGTATTTCTTCCACCTACTAAATAGGCTTGCGCATGTGTCTCTGCTCTCAGTCCAACACCTGATTTTGTATATTTAAGTATTGCGAACCCGTTGATAAGCCGTCATGGGAGAATAGTTCTTCGAAACACAACTGAACCGTAGTGATGTGGGTTGCGCAGAGCCTCAGCCCGAACAGATATATTTTTTTCTGTTTCGTGACCTGGTAGTACGCAGTTGACCTGCTGCTTAAAATTTATGCGAAAGAGTGTAATTTATCAGTACATTGTAAGTGAAGTTCTGCATTCTTAACAGCACCATGCTCACTATGCGCGCTGCTTGTTATAGTCGCGAATTCGTGTCGCCTATGAGTGATATTCTGGCACAAAATAGAGAATGTTTAAAATTATGTAGCTTAATACAGCAAAGCTGTGTATGACCTGGCGTAAGCAAAACTCGTCTGTGCCATGTACTCAAAGACTACTAGTGCGTATGTGCCACTGTACTAAACACTGGTGCACTGAAAATTGCAGCAAGCAGGCGTGTAGGAAAGGGGGTTTAAGCCTCCCCAATTTTAAATCCTAGGGAATTGCGAAGCATGCGGCGTGCGACAGTTTTCTTCCCAGCAAATGATTTATTATTGGCTGCTTTACTCGCCACTGGTCCCCTAACGTATCATTACTTTGCAGATGTGTGTGAAAGAGAGGTGTTTAAAATACAGGACTTCACCACTAAGATGAACGTAGGTAGGAAACTTGAACGTATTGGTGAACTTTGTTGGGGATTCAGACACCACTTTTAAATTAAACAGAATGTTTTAGGCACTAACAAATAACCTTTAGCACCATATAGGTATAATTTGCGCCGACTGAGAGTAGTTGGATTTACCATAATTTTGGAACGCTCACCGGATTATGACGATGACGCGACACGCCGGTAATGCGAAACGCCAAGGCACTTCACCCCTAAAACAGAGAAGGCAACGCATGAGCGGCAAACTCGACTAAAGGGGTCTCAGTTGACACAACCAATAATTGAGAAAATTTTAATGAAGCATTGGGATTGACCCAGTGATAAATACGGGGGTCACACACTTGTGCTTCGCTGGTTAACCATCGGAGCGGAGTGGTTGCGCAGTGGATACTTTTCTCATACAGAAAACAGGCTGTAATTTGTTTATAGATCAGCAGACGCCTTCAAATCTATCCGCTCTAGTGCGAATGTCGATAAAAACACCACTTCACGTGTCTCGAAATATTCCTTTTCGACCACGTTGAAATACAATTGCCGATGCCGGCGCAAACTCACAGCTACGGTCTGTATTTTCCGATTCATAAAATTGATGTAACTTTGATAATATGGTCATTCAATTTCTTAATGAGGACTTTCATTGCTACTCAACTTAATTTGGTAGGCCGACTTCGTTGTCGCGTTGCAGCGTGCACTCTGTGTGTAAAGCTTACGGATTGCGGGGCAAGTTGATAACCCACCTTAGCACACTGATGCCAAAAGAACGATAACACTCTGAAAGGAACACGAAACAAAGTTTTCTTGTTTTTGTGTTGTCTGGTTTGATAGTTTGCGCTGTGTCTAGTGCTCCTTTTTTGAGGGTTATAGTTCTTTTGCGCACAACCAAGCCAAGATTTGTGTGTAAAGTGGACAATCACTCTACAACCTTAGACTAGTTTTCGCAAGGATGAACAGCTCATGCGCATGGTCTCTTAAGCGATTAGAGGTCCCTATCATTTTCAAACAGGGAGGTCCCTTTTTATGTAGGAACGGTAGCCTTTATGCAGGAATGGTAGTCAAAAGGGTTTCACAAACTACAAGACAATGTGAATTGTACAATATTAAGAACGAAAATAAATTAGAAACACATTTCGGCTGTCTACCATCAATCACTCATATCATCGTAAGAAATGACAATGTCAGGGTAGTTAGTTAGTTAGTTGGTTAGATAGATAGATAGATAGATACATAGACAGATAGATAGATAGATAGATAGATAGATAGATAGATAGATAGATAGATAGATAGATAGATAGATAGATAGATAGATAGATAGATAGATAGATAGATAGGTCGGACTGTCTCTACGCTCACACGTAGGCACGGTGAGGCCTTGCGTCACCGTCACGCCGTGGGCCTTCTTGACAGCTTTCAGTTATTGTGATCGGACCGGCTTTTGATCGTAGATGAAAATCAATGTTCAGAAAATTTTTAATGCTCTCGCTCTCACTGTAAAGATAGTCAGCTCCAGGATATATCTCTGAAACCGCTATGGTACAATTCTGGACAAAGTATCGGATTGTCCGAGTAAGCTTTTTAAATAAAGAGGCTGAGCATGTCCCATCAGAAGCATGCGATGAGATATTACCTAAATCCTAGACAACTTATGGGGTAGAAGAAGGAACGATCTGCGTTCTATTTGATAGTGTTTCGTTTTACCTGGTACATTTGTAAAATCTGACGCAATGTAGTATCAGTCGAAGGATACGAAATGCAAAGCGACAGCGCCAACTGGTGATAATTAAAACAAGCCCATTGAGACAACCGAGGCCAATCAGTATAGCGATGCAAGAGTATCGCGATCGCATTAAGAGGTATTGTGGGCATACTGGGAGCATCAGAAGGCGCCTCGAGTAGCCATGACAGCGAGTGTTATACCCCTGTCACACGGGCACCCCCGAAGACTGTTTAACTTCCTCCTCCTTACGACAACGAAGATGCGGTCCGTGTCACGCGGCCACCTTTACGCAAACGAAGGTAAACGGAGCATTTCGCAAAGGATGTTCAACGATCTCCCTTCGCAGCGAAACGAGGTACTCTCGTCCCCAGCAGCCTAGAGGTCAGAGAAAAATTTCGAGCACTAAGTGGCCGCAGTGAAAGAATAATACATTTTGGCAATATTAAACGTTCTTTCGTTGTAGTACTCATTCACAACGCACGTTTCTTTACATGTATTTACGCCCGCCAGAGTTCACTTACTCTCAACACCGATGCGCTACACACCTTGCCTCGCGAGTCGGTCCGTCCGGCGCCAGCCGATCAACGTCATTACCAGCGCAATATCGTACTACTTCCTCACATCGTCCGCTGTGTCACTCATGGCTGAAGAACACAAAATGTGCGCTCACGTAGCAAGAAAGCATAATAAATTTCGTACCGGGCATGTACACAGGCAACAAAAAAACCAAAAGCACCATGTGGCCAGCGTAACTAGCAACATCGC